TATTCTACACATGCAAAACTTTAAAAGTGTTACGGCTTACGCTTCTGTCCTCACACGGAGCCGGTATGTCGGTTAATTGATAGGAGGTTGGAACATTCAACGTATGAAAATACGTCGTACTTCAGGTTATGAAGGATCTGAGGACTTTGCGTGTCGTAATGTTCGATATACCTCGAGCAGTAAAAGTATATCTTTGTGAGTATAGATGATTCGTTACTAACGTTACTTAGGAGAAGTTTGGCTGAAATGAGCGAGTCTGTCTTAACAATGCTATATGTATACATACAGGGTGTCTGTTTTATCTTAATATAGCGAAATATCTTTTAAGGAAGTGATGTAAGGAAAAAAATGTTTTAACAAAAGTTGTTTGGTACGAGGGGGAAAATTATGAGATTTAAAAATATTTTATGTACCGGGTATGGTAGGGGAGATTTCGAAGTCAATTTAATTTTTTTTAATGGAATGCTATATTTTTTTATACATAACATGATAGTGTATGTTAAGATGAGTCCAACGAGGTGCGAATAGTCATTTCCTTTCATGGAAGGTTGTAAAATTGCAAAAACCGGGAGCCGGACCACATCACGTTCCTCACAGTCAGAAACGCATGGTGGTCCGGCTCCCGGTTTTTCGCAATTTTACGACCTTCCATGACAGAAAATAACTTTGTTTAGCATTGTTAAGTCAGACTCGCTCATTTCAACCAAACCTCTCCTGAGTAACATTAGTAACGAAACAGCTAAACTCACAAAGATATACCTTTACCGCTCGAGGTATATCTAATATTACGATACGCACAGTCCTCAACCCTTCTACCTATTGGAGAACGACGTAGTAACCTCATGCGTTGAATGTTCCAAGCCTCCTATCAACTAACCGAAATTCTGCTGGGTATAAGGACACAAAGCGTAATCCGTAACAGAATAATTTTACACCCACCCTACTTTCAGCTCCAGATACAGTAAAGATTCTATAAGAATTCTTTCGGTTCTGCGGCATGACTGTACATGGTCTATCCCCACCACAAGGAGGGACCACCCTTGAACCAGGCAAGCAACTAATGTGACACGGCACGGCATTTCCTTATCGCATTCGGTGGCGGCATGTCCGTGAGACAATACTAACAAAACTACAAAAAATTTCATCAAAATATTGGTGAATCAAGGTATTGGTGAAATTTTCTGATTAAAATGATACCAAACACGATATTGTTACAAAACTTGGTTGTGTCGATTGGGCTTGTGAATCTTCCTTTGCCCGCTACGTTCATTTCACTGTTTACATCACAGAATGTAACACCATTTCTCATAACTGTGCCAAAAGGGAACAGTTATCCAGAACTAGAACTGAACCTATCCGGTTATTCTCGAATGGGACTCTTCTACACGATAACTGTTCGTAAGCGGCATTGCCTTTGATCAATTATCGGATAAGAAGAAACGAAATTTGACCTGTGACGAGTTTAAACTCGTATAAAGTATAAGAATACACATAGGAGTTGTTATACTAACGAATTCACTACTCCAGGGCTCTTTACATGCAGTTCGCAAACAGTTTGCGAACAATTATAATTTTCTAATATGTTAAAAATTTTACTAGTCAGCGTTTTTGATGAGTATGTGAAAAAAATTAAAGAGAAAAAGTGATACAATTTTTTGCAAATAATATAACAACGTATGCGAACTTTTTGTGTTTGTATTATTTTTTGGGAAATGAAGATGACACTCAATTTTTTAAATAGAATTTAAATTCTAGTCTATGCTGACTAGTAAATCTGTTAACATTCTGTATAATTATAAATAGGTGCAAGTTGTAGTTTTGTAATTTTTTGTTAGTTTCATTAATTTTAGTAATTCTTTTGAATTTTTTGACCTTTTGTAATTTTTTAATTTTGTATAACTTTGTAATATCCTGTAATTTATTTAATTTCTTATAATTGCTCCTATATTTTTTAATTATGTATCATCTTAGAATTTTCCATAATGTTTTGTAAATCCTTATATGTAATCGTTTTTAGGTGTCTTACATTTAATAGATATAGTAAAGACATAATAAAGTGTGGATGTATGTAAATATGTATTAATTATTTATAGGGAGGGCATAATTATGTGTGTATGTATATAAGTATGCATGTGTGAAATTTCTTATTACGTAACTAAGTGTAAACCGAATTATACCGTGTTTGGTCTCGTTTTAATCAGAAAAATATCATGGATATGTCAGTAAAATTTTTATCAGCAAAACACAAAAAATAAAAAAGTTTATCTTTTGTATTAGCGTTGTCCCACCGATATGTAGGTGTTTGATATTTTAGGACTGGCTCGACTTTCAATACCTCTCTCTTCTTTGTCTGCTGTCTCTTTCTGCGTCCGTCGGTGTCGGTAAAATACAAAGAGTTTGAGAAACCTAGTACCTATTCCGTAGCTCAGAGCCGCTTAACTTCTTGCTCACGAGCAAATTTCCCCTCACGAGGTTACCCCTCTTTGCGACTGAATGGTTTCGCTCGAATTACGGCGCAGAGGGAGGAGGACGCGAGGAGTTCTCCCACCGCAACTCCAGCGACTGCCATTGGTTTATGTTGCACATTCTGCATGTTCGTACCGCATAGTGGAGGAACTTCGGGAGGGGAAATTTACTCGTGAGCAAGAAGTTAAGCGGCTCTGCCGTAGCTGTTCCACAGCGGTCCCGAATTTCGAACTCTTACCGAATCTTTACCGAATTTCTAACACAAGGAATCAAAAAATTATTTCTCTCAAAAATACATAATAGAAAAGTTGTGAACCATAAAAAAAAATATTGTCTAAAAAATATTTAATATCTTGCCTGCGAGCAAGATAACATAGGCGCAGCAATGACGCAGCCTAGTTGTTTCGGCCCAGTTCCTCTCTTCACATTGACGCTTAAACTTAGTCCCTTCCTTCAAACTGTCACAAAAACCTAGTTTCCCCCGATTCACAGGGTCGTTTCGGTCATATTTCTTCCTTCACATTGACGCTGTTGAAACCTAGTCCCTCCCTTCACACTGTCGCTGTCATACGAGCTGTGCTTTTACGTATGTGTGTAGGTTGTGCCTCCCAATTTTCCAAGCATAGCTTATGCATTCGACGGAAAATGTGAAGGCACAGCTTACATTTGTAAGGAGAATTAAGAAATTCACGCGTATTTGATGGAAATGGATTTATTAACTGTTGCGTGGGTTAGCTTGCTTAGATCGTCACCATACGACTTTCTAACCAAGAGTGGCTTTCCGACTAGGAAAGCCCCGTTTTCCCGCCGTTGCCAAATGTGCGTCGCCAAGGGCTCCAAGGGTTGGTTGCCGATGCTCGTGGCGTCGTAGTCTCGGGCCCGATATCGCCTACTCCTATTACTCTAAACATCCGGGCCGGCCGCCCAAATACCCGCCTCGACGGCACCCTCAAATTCTTACACATTCGACGGACAATGTGTACAGATTTTATTTTTTTGTAGGTTATAGAGCATCCCTTGGAGATTAAAATGGCTACGTATGATGTCCAGCAACGAGTAAAACTCATTGAGTTTTTCTATTCCAGTGAAAGATCAATTATTCAAACTCGAGAGAAAATACCGGCAACTTTTTAATGTTAGAGTATCTCCTAGCGATAACATGATTCGGAACCTAATCGCTCGGTTTGAAAGAACTGGATCCGTCGGCGTTCTTCCGAGAAGAGGTCCTAAGCACACTGTGCGCACTGACGCAGCGGTGGAAGCAGAGTGTCCTTGAGGATCCATCTGCCTCCACCCGTCGTCGCGCTCTACTGAGAACTGAAACTGGATTTAAAAATGTTTTCATACAAGATCCAAATGGTGGTCCAAGCTTTACTACCCCAAGATACTCAGCAGCGCCTGCAGTATGCCATTCGATTTCAACACCTAGCCAGAGATAACAACAACTTTTTGAACAACTTGATAATGAGTGATGAGGCCCATTTTCATTTAAACGGGTACATCAACAAGCAAAACTGCAGATTTTGGGGTACTGAGAATCCCAGGGAATTACATCAGCATCAATTGCATCCCCAAAACTGCACTGTTTGGTGCAGTGTTATGGCTGAAAGAGTTATCGGCCCTTATTTCTTTGAAAATGAGAAAGGTCAGCCAGAAAGAATCAACGGGGCCCTGTATAAGGACAATGCTTGAAAATTTTTTACGCCCAGCAGTCGAAGATAATCAGGAGGTATGGTTCCAACAGGATGGAGCTACTGCGCATACTGCCAGGGCGACGATGGACTTCCTGCGAGAAATTTTCGGTGAACGAATAATTTCAAAAAATGCTGAATTTGTTTGGCCTCCACGTTCACCTGATTTGACGACACCAGACTTCTTTTTGTGGGGCTACTTGAAAGAACGGGTTTACGTAAATAAACCTCGAACAATTCAAGAACTTAAGGAGAACATTCGAGCCGAAATCCGACGTTTAGGACCTGAAACCTTGCGTACGCTCATGGAAAATGCTGTGGAAAGAGCCTGTATTTGTGAGCAGGAAAATGGTGGTAATTTGAGGGATGTTGTTTTTCACACATAATACTGCATTACTACATTAATTATATTTCCAAATAAAATAATAAAAAATAAATAAAACGTGTTTGTAAAAGTTATTTTTGTTTTATATCATTCAGTCTTTCAGTGGCCACCCTGTAGTTAGAGAGTAAACTTGTAAAGCTACATATTACTTGTGGTTGTGGAATATAATAAAAGGGACGTCGTCTTGTGTACACGTGCTTTTATTGACAGTTGCAAGTGGAATAGTTACGATACTGCGGTATTCCGATCACACTATAACCAATCACGCGTGCACAATACGCTAGAAACGCTTGTCTAGTGGTGAATAGATCCAAGACATATTGTTAAATTTAGTTTAAATACACCTACAGCACATACTGATACAAAAATAAGAGAAACTTAATTTAGAGATCAGGAATTTAATTTTGCGTTCTGAATCACTTAAAGAAGAATTTTACAATTATCTATTATCATTTCAGGTCCAGCCGGTTTCAACGGCATTGCCAAAACCAGAGCAGTGGCTAGGCAGTATAACCAGCTCGATGCCATCCTCAGTGCAATCTCCTTCGCAAGGGCAAACAAGTCCACGACGAGCGCCGCCGCTTCACGCGAGGGCTCTGTCGCTCGGATCGGCTGGGATGGGACAAGCTACTAGAACTACTTCGTCAGATCCATTCGACGCGGAATGGGCGGAAATCGCAGCGAGAAATCTGCGACAGTCGGGCACGACAAATCCGTTCATAATGCCAAACGTGACGCAAGCGTTTCAGGTGCAATTGTAGCGCCAAGAGTTCGTCAAGAGCGTTATCAAGTACTTCCGTTCGAACACATAGTGACGACTTCATGTCCGTTCGCGCTTCGACCTCTCGCATGATCGGAAGTATTACACTTGAGTCACGCTAACTTGAATCGGATCGCAAAGTTTCGTGCTTCAAGGGGTGATGTTCGAGTGAAGAGTCCGGTCAGGTGACACGGTGGAGCACGGTGTGGTAAGAGATGAGGGGGAGAGAGAGAGAGAGGATAGAGATCTCTATATAACGAGGAAGAAGCAGCGAGGGACGGAGACGTAAATCAATCTCGAAGAGATATTTAGAAGCAATGATGATATAGCTAGCAGCAAATCGGCACAAAACACGTACCCGTAAATATTGTTTAGACATAGTAGTAGATTGCGCACAGAGCCTCTATGACCTCAGAATTGCATAAAAAAGCAGGGAGAATGGGAAAGGAGAAAGTAAACGCGGTTTTAAGACCGCTCGTTTGATCGTGGTAGTAAACGTGGATTATTTAAATATAAAGGGCTCGATCGACGCATTGATCGATCGGGAACACTTTGTTTTAGATGTCGTCGCACTTTATTCGCGGGGGAAGGTAGAATACGTCGCTGGTATCGATAACATATTTAAATGTCTATCACCGAGATACTTAATAAGCAAGGTGTACAATAATCTTGAGTAGTTTAGGCTGAAAACAGTTACCGCCGTTCTGCATGAAAAAGCAAAATTACCACGCACCCAAGATTATACTGCACCAATCAAATGTTTCATCGAAAAAAAGTGTAAAAAAAAAAACAAAAAATGAATAGAAAATACTGTGAAAATAGTTTTGAGGAGTGAAGAGACGAAAGAGATTTGAATGAATTTTGTAGACCTTACCAGGCTTAAGATACTAGGAACGGACAAGGTCTGTTAACAACAAGCGAGAAAAACGTTGATAAAAGAATAGATGAATCTGGAAAAGAAAAGATAAAGAGTTCAAATAATTGGCTAACGTACTGAACATGGCTAACGTGACTAAAACATCAAATGACGGGCTGTGATATACGTGGCGAAGTAGGGCCAGTACTTAAATGCGAGAATAAAATTGAGCGGATGTCATGAAAATTTTGTTCAAGGTTTTCGCCTGAAACGACAAAGAGGAAGAAGCATTTACGAGCTTGGGTAGCACAGAGTCTATTATTTCGTAACCGGCAGAATAACCACACAGAACCTAAAAACACATTACATTCACGCATAAACTTAGGATATTTAAGAGCAAAGAATTAAATGTTGAAATTTCTAGAGTCAGTACGTTCCACGTTATCGTTGTCTAATATCGTACGTATGAGCGAGTCGAACATTTATCGCGATAAACGTGTGTGTCAGGATTGAACGACGTATAGGCGAGAAAAGATGGTTCGCGTGCACGCAACTAGACACACAAAAGGTGCTTCCGCTTAAAAAAAAAACCATATAGTAAGAATTAAATAAATAAAATGTAAAACGATGTTTACGAAGATCGTTTTACAAGTAAACACGACAGCATTGATGTACGGAGTCGCGTTCTCATGTGAACCTTTCTACAATTTGCTCTGCAGCGTTACGTCAGTTGTTAAACGATTATGGAGACACGAGAACGTTTTCCCCATATCTTATGGAGAATGAGAGTATCCTACAGGGTTAATGTTGCATCTTGATGTTTCTCTCTTTCATTTAACAGTAACCGTTTTCAATTTCTCGAAACGTAATTCCCCTTGAAATGTTCAACCCCTTACCGTGTGAATTTTGTTTCACATATAAAAAAACACTTTGAGTTGAAAATGGAAGAGATTAGATGGAATATTCCTAAAGATATTTTTTTTTATCTTTCCTATCTTATTTACTTGCCTTCTTTGTTTCGGACACAGATAAGATATTTTTTGTATTATTTGTATACTCAAGATACATTCAGGAACGTAGATGTATACATAATTTATTATTAAATTAGATAATCGTATCGTATTCTTAGGATAGTAATTCTTTAACAATACTAATAAAATTGATTCTGGCGGCACTTAGTTACTTAATATGTACTTAATTTAACAACATTTTTTATGTCATAGGTCTTTATATTTGCCACGAAAAATTTATAATTTTGTGTAGAGAAATATATGTAATATATCTGCAGTTCAGAAACCAGTAAAAACTTATTTACGTAGCTCATAACTTTTACATATTTTTAACGACAAAGAGCACGATAAATTATTTCGTTCATGGCAGTTTCTTCTTTGTATGTTAATTTTTGTTTACGTCACATGCGATATAGAAAAACGAATTGCAGTAATTTACTTTTGTTTAGAAATAAATATTGAACATTTTCATCATTTTGCGAAGTTTTATACTATTTACAATTATATTAATATTTGAAATTCTATATTACTATAGTTTTCTTTAAACATAATACAACAAATATTTAGCACTATAAATAGTGTCTAAAAGTATAAGTGATTCAAAATTTTCTAAAGACCTAGCAAGGAAAACCATTATAAAATATTAAACGAATATTCTAAATCTATTCTCTCCACCCTTTAAATTTTCTAAAGTTTTAAAATAAAATCATCCTTTAAAAAGATCCATGAATGCGATATTAAACATAGATACGATATGTTACGCCATGTGGTGAGGGGTTAACATCGAACAAAGATAGAAAGAGGCGGGGCGGTATGTCGAAAGATGTCTTGATTGGTGGGAAAGAGGGTACGTGTTCGATCGTCCTTTCGACGAATCGTATGTGTGCGTTGTACATAAATAATAGTTATTTAAAATTGTAATAAGAGAAACGGAGACAAAGCAAAATCAGACAGGTGAAAAGATATAGATAGATAGATAATTAGATAGAGGATGGGGGGAGGGGGGGTGAATTGTGTAAGAAGACACTGTTTACTGAGCCGGCGGTGATCCTAATGCAAGCGAAAATGATTTTCTTCATTGCCGAAGTTTCATTTAGTTGTAATTGTAAATTATTCTTGTAAATAGTTCGGTAGCATTTTTCAGCACAAATCACGTTGCTTCTGCATTTAGGACCATTGTATTCGGTGACGATACTATAGTCTGTTTAAAATGAATTATCTGTTCAAAACTACTTCCATGCATAATGTCATAAGCGGCTTCTTTATTTCCAATCCAAAGCTATGCTTTTCGACTTTGTTCTTAAATGTATTTAAAGTAGAAAGAGCAAGCCAAAAGCAACGCTGTTCAAATTAAACTTCAGAGTTTAAGAAGTTTTTTCCACTTTGACTACGTTATTGTAATGTAAAAACACTACGTTATTTTTATTTATAACAAAAGAACGTTACAGGACGTGCTGTATCTAATAAGTATATATCGAGCTCTCTATTGCTAATAACAGTACGAACAAAGAAATTGAGCTACATAATAGAGGGCAGTACTGGCTTGAAGGCTTCTCTTTCTGTCTGTAACGAACGATAGAAGCAAACGCGAGGCAAAGAGCACAATAGCCGAGTGGAGTGGTGAGAGGCTTGCACTCAATAACTTCGAGCGGCCAATTGATTTTGAACAGACTGTATTGTGTCAGTGAGAGACAGAACACGTAATTAACGCTCGTCATGTTGGAGAATCCAGCCTGATATTGTTCTTGATCGTTTGGCAAGGCTGAGCTTAATCTTTCGAGTCACCTTCTGTCCGTCCGGTAAATCAAAAGCAACAGAAGCGAAACAAATGAATACTGACATGCAAAAAGAAGAAACTAACGAAACGAGCAAGAGATAAAAAAAACAACGTTATTGAGATAGCACAATCGCGATCGCCAAGTATTTACTACAGAACTTGTGTAGACGAGGAAACGTGTAAAAGAGGAAAGGAACGTTGATTGCTCGATGTACTTAAATATTATACGAACGCAGATTCTTTTGCTTTCGTTTTCACATTTTGTTTTCTCTCTGTTTGAAAAACGAATGTAATAAACCGATGTCGAGGGCATCGTGAACCGTTGTCCACGTCAGCATGTGCTCAATTCTTAAAGTTCCCGTAAAAAACGAGCTAAGAGGAATCGTGTGCACAACACAGTGGTGATTCGTTACGTAACATTATCGCCTTAAGTACTTATTGTTTTCTTTTCTCCTCTATTTTTTTATGTTCTTTTCTTCTGTATCGACGTACGTTAATCATTCGTTCAGGTTCACTTGGCTAGGATTGAAATGAAACTGGGAAACGTTTCGGTTGGTTTCTGTTCCCTGGTTAAACATTTTCAATAGTTTATGGAATCGAAATGATCGAATTTTTTTGTAGGTAGTTTATAGTAACGTAGAAGGGACAGAGATCAGTCGCGACACGTTCCAGTGTCTCGTTTCAGCTGAAAGAAACTAGTGTATTTATAATTGGTTAACTCGTTGAATAGAAGCACACAGGGACACTGGAATAAGAAAACAAACAAAATAAAGAAAGAATATATGAACAGGTGCACCGCGTGCCAAATTTGAGAAAAGTGCAACCACGTTGTCTGCGAACTTTTTCGACAGTACATCGTGCACACTTCCATGGTTGTGTTGTACATAATGTCGCCGATCGATTCCTGGATCAATGTACGACTGCGTGTATATTTCGTGAAAGTATCCTTGTTCATTTTACAATGTATCTGCCTCTGTAAAGATACAGTTTATTATAATATCTGTTGTGATTATCAAACGGTTTCTCGTATTCTTTTTATTTTCACCTACATGTAGATGTATAATGTTTCTGTACGGTTTATTTATAAATTAGTAATTCGGAATGGCAAGAGAAGAAAATTAATTTCACTAGCTGATCAAAATAGTGTTTGCGTTTCATTTTATTTTTCTTTATTAACACTCCACGCGTTGTGCAGTGTGAATTCACAAATTCGTTTTTTTCCCCACTACAAGTTAGGAAAACAAATTCTACATTAAGATCTTCAGAAGTCATTATATTTACAAAGATTTAGTACTCGGAACACTGAAATATTTCGAAAACTACAAATGATACAAAAAAATATTTCACACGAAAGTTGT